GCCTTTCCTCAGATCTCAGTTCTCCCATTACGATAGATGCCGTTCTGTCTGTTAGGAAGTCCTTGACATAGTTATACGCCCTTGATCCTAAGCTTAATTGGCAGATATGATGTAAGATAGCCGTATGCGATGCTTTGTCGAAGGCTTTTTTAAGGTCTAACCCTAAGATCGCCCGGGTAGCTCTTGTTTTGTTGCCTAGAATCTGCTGCTTAATTTGCAGCATGGCGTCTTGCGTGGAGAGCCGTGTGCAGAACCCCAACATGGAATCTGGGTTGATTTCGTTCTCCTCAAGATAAGTGTTGATTCTGTCTAGAAAAGCGCGTTCCATCAGCTTCCCAGCACAAGACGTTAGTGATATGGGACGTAAATTCGATAGATCGGGGGGTTTCCCAGGCTTGGGGATGAGGATTACTTTAGCTTTTTTCCACTGTTTTGGTATAGGGCCCTTGGTCCAGCACTCGTTAATATATTGCGTGATGTTCTCTATGGCTTGGTCGTCAAGGTTCCGTAGTGTTCTGGTAGTGATCCCGTCTAGTCCCGGTGCAGATTTGGTGTTTAGCTTCTGTAGCGCGGCCCTGATTTCAGCCACAGTAAACTCCTCATCTAAGAGCTCGTTCGGGCCTCCGGAATATGGTCCGTGCTCTATGACAGGCATGGTGGGAATGTACGTGTTGCTAGCCTCAGCGATAAAGTCCTCCTCACTGCCGTTATACTGGTGCACCAGTTTACGCAAGGTTTGCTTGTGTGCTGATTTGGTGTTATCTGGGTCTAGCAGGTGTTTGAGCATGTGCCATGTCTGACCAGCATTCATTTGGCCATCGAGACTATTACAAACTTGGTCCCATTGCTGTTTGCTTAGCTGCTTACAATGTTCTTCGATCTGTTTGTTCAGCTTGGCTATGCGCTTGCGCAAGGGCCTGTTGTGCCTCTGTCCCCGCCATCTATTCTGCAGTGATTGTTTGGCCTCCCACATGTGTGCGAGACGGCTATCAATCTGGTCTAGGGGTGGACTTGAAGTGATACTCCGCGTTGCCTCGCTGACGTCGTTATTGACATCTTTGATCCAATTCTCTATATTGCTGATAGGGTCTTGTTTTTTCGCGTTTCTGACTTTCCGAAACTTATCCCAGTCAGTCCATCTAATCTGTCTCTGAATTTTTGCGGCAGCCATGGTTTCTATCCTGATTTCTAATATTCGATGATCACTCCCCAGATCATCGAATGTGTTTTTCCATTTAGCGGTCCCCGCGTTACGAACTAACGTTAAGTCTGGAGTGGTGTCTCTTGCAAGCCCAGTTCCCATACGCGTAGGGGAGTCGGGGTCAGTGATGAGAGTTAAGCCTGTTTCTTGAATATCCTGCCATAGCGTTTTTCCTTTGGCTCTTGTGTATCCGTGTCCCCAAGCAATGTGTGGAGCGTTAAAGTCTCCACCTATGACGAGTGGATTGGGTCCCGCTATATCTACGGCCTTCTTAAAGAGAAGAAGGAAGCGTTGTTGTATGCGTGTGGGATTGCTGTACAAATTCAGAATAAATATCCTCGGAGATTTTTTTTCTTTTAGGGGCAAGTTGTACGAGTATATGTTCAATTTCTGTAATGTGGGTTTCGTGGCAGATTGCTACGAGTCCCTTCCTTACTAGAGTGGTTAGTGTTCTAATATCCCCTGTTGAGGGGCCGATCGCCTGATATCCAGGTAGCTTAGCTAAAGCATGGGTTTCCTGCAAAATTAGAACATCCGGTTTGGTTTTGCCTCTAAGGTGTTGTTGCAAGACTGCTCTCTTCCCCTCATAGCTCCTGCAATTCCACTGCCAAATAATTAAGTCTCTTTTTCTCGGCTTCCCTATTTTGAGTTGGCTATCGAAGAGGGAGGAGGGTGAAAGGAGGCAGGCCTCATGAAATTAGTTGATATAGCGACTGATGCGGTGCCCTGAGATAAGTGTGAATTTTCTTCAGTGCTTATCGGAAGGTTGGTAGCTGGAAGTACCGGAGGTGTCCTAGGGTTGAGATTGGCTACGTTAGCTTCGAGTTTATCTAGTCTATTCATGATCATAGATATTGCAAGCGAGAGGTTGTTGGTTGCCTCTGCCTGTTCCTTAACTGCTTTCTGTATTTCGGACAATGTTTGATTAATATTCCAGCTTTGTGCCGTAGTTTTGTCATTAGACACCTGAGCTTTCCTTTTAAGAGGTGGCGGGGTACTGTCCTCGTCCATTCGGTTATCTGGCATTTCTTCGAGGCGCTCTTGGGCCGCGGAACGCATTTGACTAGAAGTTCTATTTGTGCAGTTTTTAAGACTTTGAATTTCCCGAGTAAGTTGTGATATCAATTCTCTAAGCTCAGCGTTTTCTTTTTTCAGCTCTGCTATATCACTGGCATTATGCGCAGTCTACCCCGAAGGCTCAGGGCGCGTCCCTTTAGCCACGTCTGACCAGCTCACCGTGAATTCCGGGTTCCCTTGATGGCCATTGCCACCCTTTGGCTTAGACCGGGATCTGGAACGGGATGTAGTGCGCCTTCTCGGTCCCGGAGACTGGGTGGTGTGGCCGCGGGGCGTTGCGCAGGACCAGGACCTTGATCTGGACGCAGGCGTTGCCCTCGTCCGGAATTTGGACCTCCCGCGTTCGGTTGGCTTGGTGGTAGGGGGGTAGTTCTCCTCGAGCGTCTCTTGAAGTTGTCGGAACCACTGGCGTTGTTTTACGATGTAGGGTGTCTTGAACTTGGCCTTGCAGAGTTTGTCAGCCGTGGGATGATCCTTGCCGTACAGCTGACATCGTGGCTGACAGTGGTGGTCCTCGCTCGGATCAGGCGTTCCACAACCCGCACATAGCTTGTCGTTTGGCCTCCAGCACACGTCACTCCTGTGCCCAAGTCTGTTGCATTGTTTGCAAAAGTCAACTTGTTTCCTGTATAGTGAACAGCGTGTGAGCACTCTTCTGTACATAACGTGCGTCGGGACTCTGCTGCCGTCAAAAAGGACTATCACTGTCGTGGTGTTGCCAAGACGTTTGGCTGCGATGGCCGTAGGATTTCGGGCTGTAATAATTGCTGCGGTGATGTCCCGTAGGGTTTCGTTCAAAGGAACTCCTTTGATTACACCTTTGGCAGTGAGTTCCGGGGCCGTCTCGTATGCTCCCACCTCATACAACTTGTCGTTGGCTTTGATGTGCTTGATGCCTTGGTGCTTATCTGCATGGTCTTGGTTTGGGGTGCTAACGACCAAGATGTTCTGAAAATTATTCGGACAAATCGTGTCCGTCTCTCTTTCTTCATAAGGGATCTCGGCCGCTTCATACACAGTTTTGTCTAGCTCCGTTAAGCTAAGCTTGGATAGCTGCAGTCCTCTTCTTGGCCTTATAACCATCTTGCAGTCAGCTGTCGGCAGTCTTGGCATTTTGCTGGCTCTGGTTATCCGGGATATCAGGTTTGCACCGCGCGTTCTAGGTGTTCGGGTAGGGCTAGGGCTACCACGGCGTTCCTGGCTACCTTTCTTCGCACGTTTTCTGTATCGAACTTCTGTCCACCCGTTGCCTGTGTCATCTTCTTGTTGGGTGACGTCTTCATCTTCCCGTCGGGTGGCGTCTTCATTCTGCTGCGATACCTCCATTATTGATGATTACGGCCTGTATGGCGCGAACGCCGAGGCCTGGCTATCGTGAGGCCGCCCCAGTCGACGCGGAGCGCCGGTCGTAGGAGTAGTAGACGCTACTTGGTGGGGGCTGGTTTTCGGTCGTAAAATCTCAAAAAATGATCACCCACCTTAGAATATTGTCTCTTCTGATTCTCGGTGACGAGAAGAATCAGATGGTATATAAATCCGAGCGGTGCCTGGCTGTATTCGCTGTGAAATCATTCTATGAGAACGGAGCCGACGTGAAGAGCGTCCATTCACCTCGGTGACCGCAGCGCCTCCGCGCACTGATTGTGCTCATGTATTCTACCGCGTCTAAGCCAGCGTTTCTAAACCATCCCGCAGAAACAGGCAGAAGACCTCAAAATAACGCTGGTAAACAAAGCAACACTGCTCGCGTGCTCGGGGGTTGGACTTGTTTGGGCACGTCATGCGCACGTCTCCTCATGGTCGGATGCTGGAGAGGATGGGGAAGAGATTTGGCTTGCGAAGGCTATACGGAGCAGCGACAAGGGTTTCGAGCTCACCTCCTTTCACCCTCGTTTAGCGCCGCTTCAAAAAAACCTGTTTTTTAACTCAAATTCGGTATGGGGCCTGGTGAGTGGCCCTTTAAGAATTATATGGACCTCAAAAAAAAAACTTTGTTACCTGGAAACCTACCACTTGAACGCTAGCTGTATAATCTCGCTTCATTGCACCTGTGTCAACAGGCTTACCTATTTTGTGAAGTACCATGAGGTCGAACAGTATCAGCTACAAGAAAAATTTTTCTTTTCAACAGAGGTTCGTGTCAACTCCTTTCTCATGTTTTAGGTAACCAGCCCATTGCACATGTCGACACTGCCTTACACTGTGCTAGAATATCTGTGATCATTCTAGTTTATTTAAGAATCGTCAGATAGGCAAGAGTTCCCAAACGCGAACAGCTGACATCTTCGGGTACCCGTGCAGCGTGGCACAGACAAAGGACGAGAGACGGAAGAACAGTTTGGTGCGAACGGCTGAGTTTATTCCCGAAGAAACGCAGCCGTTAGCACTAACGCTGGAGCGTTCGATGCCGCCTGTATAAATGCCGACGCATCTTTTGCTACAATCTGACTTCCAGTTCGCCGGCGTCAAGTTCAGCCAATGAAACAGTTCGCCTTGAACTGTTTCTCGCGTCAATTTCAGAAGCACGTGCCAGTATGTTTTAGAGTATGCCTTTCCTAACTGTCACTACGGTGTTTTCCGATTTTAGTCCAGTCATTTCTAAGCAATCCCTACACAAGGACATCCTTGTTATTCCCCCCAACAGAGTGCACTCCAAAAAAAAAAAGACATTTTAGTTGCGAAGCAAAGAAAGGAAATTTCACATAACCTTCTTTTTGTTTAGTTAACCATGGCGGAGCTCATGGCGGAGCCAATGGAGGTATTTTTGGCGGTTCTCTTAGAGGAGTTGCTGGTCGTGGATCTTTGTCTGGTATTTCAGGTAAGCGCTCTTCCCACATACTTGTAAAAGTGAATGCTCTAAATGTGTAATTCATGTGCATGTTTGTACGCGCGTGTATATCTACTCATAAGAACTGAATTTTTTTATTGGTAGGGTATCACTTATGTTTATCTGTAATCGTTTCTGTACAGGTGAGTGAATTACGCCGAACTGAAGGAATTTTTATGACAGTTCACAAGTCGATATAAACTGCCACAAACTAGAACGAGACACAATATATATAGGCTTTCCAGATGAGCTACAGTGTTGGTGCACTTTATTACATTCAAAGAACGAGAAAACTAAGCCAGTGATGGGACATCCGACTAATTATATGAAAGACACAAAAACATTTGTCCCCTTAACCTATATGCCTGTTGTGCCACTGAACAAATAAAAGTGACAAGATTAATGAAAAAAAAAATATGCGTCATTGCAGAATTGTTTCTCTTAAAAAGCAGCCTGCAGACGCACTTCTGGAAATTTACCGAAATTGACGAAACTTAAGGCACATGATGAAACCTAGGCTTCAGTTTCGTTCTCTTGAACATTTAAAGAAACTACGACTTTTTATAATCCATTTTAGATTCCACTAAATGACTTTGCGAAGCAGTGGCATACTAGTATCTACTATGTTTGCGCCTATTCTGCGCATAGTGCACTATACTTGTATAACTAGGGCAACTGATCCTGGAATTCACGTTTAAACTGGTTGCGTCAATAGTTATTGTTCGTTGCCTTGTTGCTGAAACCATAGTTGCTGCAATGCTTCATGGCTACACGCCAGTCCTACTCGGTACGTTTGCCATAGGAGAAGGGTAATTTCATGAACGCTCAAACACACTGCGAGGGGGCGACCATGGCCCAAGCACTGGCCTTGCTTATTGTATCGATTCATACCAAAAATAGCCCTCGCGCCAAGTTGATTTTGAATATCGAAAGTGTGAATTTTGACGTGCCATGTTGGGACATGCCATAAAATATATCAAAGTTATGATATGCCTGATAATGTTATGCCACTGCTTTTGGTAATTCCTTGACGTTCATGTAATGTGTCCTTACAATTCAAAATTGTCTTTGCTAAATTTTTGCTTGTATTCTAATGTTGTTCTATCTGTTGACGAGCAACATATCATTTTGTCAGTAACATTTGCTGTCTTTTCTAAAGTTTTTTTTGTTGTAGAAAGACAAATCACTACTTCAAATTTATATCGCATTGAACAAACGTATGCCTGGTTCTAGACGGTTGGTCTACCCCGTGCACGGTTACAACAATATAAATTATCATTCATGCACCTGAATTCAACTTGATAATGCAATTTTTAACTGGTCACTTGGAGATATTTTTTTTTATTTCTGCTCTGCGTTCTAGCAGACTCTTAGGGCGGAATTCACGTTTATACCAAGAAATTTTGTTACTTTAACTCTCAGTTGCACATTTCATCCTTCGCTTTCCCTTACAGGTACCGGCAGCGATGTTTAAGCTTCCAGAGTTATCTCAGGTGCCCTGGGTGATTGTGGTGTTTAGAACTCTATTTATTTATTTATTTTTATGGCATATTCACAGCACCTGATAGCAAAGCATTACAGTGGGAAGGGGGAGGGGTATGCAAAAGAAAAATTCAAAAACGGGCAGTGTTGTAGCCAGCTCAAACAGTATTAAGAAACATGAATAAATACGCACATATTCAAGAACACCATTATTATAACGCTAAAGTGCATCATAACCATTCACTAAAACACTTGTGAAGCTTCGTCCTTCGATAAGTGATCAATCATGCTTCTTTGCAAGGCATTGAGTGGCTTTTCCATCATTTAGAACCATCTGGTTCCGGAGCTGGATTTCATCATGGACCAGTCGTAGGTGGGGCTACTGGACCATGGAGTGCAGGTCATGCTGGCGTGGCAGGTGTTGCAGGCGGTGCAAGTACTGCCGGTGGTGCAAGCACCGCAGGTGGTGCAAGTGGTGCAAGTGCGGCAAGTGGTGCAAGTGCGGCAAGTGGTGCAAGTGCGGCAAGTGGTGCAAGTGCGGCAGGTGGTGCAATTGCTGCAGCAAGTGGTGCAATTGCTGCAGCAAGTGGTGCAATTGCTGCAGCAGGTGGTGCAAGTGCTGCAGCAGGTGGTGCAAGTGCTGCAGGTGGTGCACATGGCACAGGTGAACGTATATTTTGGCTTGAAGACTTGAGATGGTAGTTCAGTGCTGTCAATCGCATAGGTAGATTAATTACCCCATTTGTAGAGTATGTTCGGAATTCTTAAGCTTGCGTGAGATAGTAGGGCAGTAGTACGTTATTGTCGCACTACTGAGTAATTTCCACACTTCGCTCGTCATCGATCTGCAAATAATATATTCTATCCGCGCCAACTATCAGAGAGCTACGTTTCTAAATGTATCGGAAAATTAATTAAATGTTTCTTTGAATAAACTTGGAGCGGTCTCAATTCACGTGTCAACAGCAACATGCAGAGAAGAAATTTAGTACGTATCACATTCATATGCTAGAATTGCTGTTTTTAGGGGCGAAGCTCCCTATGGCGTTGGTTGTGCGTTCCTCGTAGTACGTAACCACCAGTGGCACATACCTGAAATAGCGGTCTTTACGATTTTGACCTCCAAGGTGGTTCCGGTGAGAGATTTCTTTTGTGCGTTGTTGAACAATAAAAGATAGTGCTCAATGCACATGTTAATGGCTGCTAAGAGGGAATGAGAGACAGGAGCATTCAGCCGTTAGGTAACGCGCACGCTGCGATCCCTATTAGCAGCTTTTGGCACGTACATTGAGCACGATCTGCAAGAAAGGGTTGCTACGTTATACTCGCTGGGTGTAACCTCCTTGGTTTTAGAAAGGTTTAGCGAGCGTTGGGCCGCATAGCCATGAATACAGTGAACTAGTACATACCATGAACTCGAGGTAGTTAAAGGTGGGAAGTAAACCCGAAGCGCAAGCCGTAAGAAAGTGTGCATGTGCCACCTCCCGTTGATTGATTTGTGGGGTTTAACGTCCCAAAACCACCATTTGATTATGAGAGACGCCGTAGTGGAGGGCTCCGGAAATTTTGACCACCTGGGGTTCTTTAACGTGCACCCAAATCTGAGTACACGGGCCTCCAACATTTCCGCCTCCATCGGAAATGCAGCCGCCGCAGCCGGGAATCGAACCCGCGACCTGCGGGTCAGCAGCCGAGTACCTTAGCCACTAGACCACCGCGGCGGGGCTGCCACCTCCCGTTTAGTCCTTGAAATGTCCGCTGGATGGCGGTGCTTCTATGGAGAATATATGATGAAAAGATGCGAGATGGTGGTACTTGTAGTGCTGACTATAGGTGGACGAACGAACACACAGACACATGCATGGATGGACGCATGGATGGACGCATGAACGGACGCAGGCGCGGATGCATGGACGAACGTAGGGACGGACGCACGAACATACGCACGCACGGACGGGTGGATGGACGCGTGGACGGTTACACAGACGTACGCCGGAACGGACGGAAGCAAGAACGAATGGATGGACGAATGCTTCGCCCCACTTCCCATCATTCACTCCGTGGATATGCTGCCATTTTTTATCATGAATTGTTTGTTTTTTTCTGTTGTCTGCCTTTGGTTCATTGCGTGGAGGAGCTTTAAAATTTTTGTGACAATGGTCGGTGCCCGTTCTCAAGGTGAAAGCCCTTATCGATAATAAATCAAAGGGACCATCTGGTTCGAGACGAGTGATGCTAAACATGATCACTTTCTAATGAAGTCACCTCTAGACATCCCAGGTGAACAGAATTCGTGAAATCATCATAAAATTATAGTTACGCCACAGTGACACCCGTACAACGTCAAATGAAGACATCATCACATGACCATCATGGTCATAGGAGATCTGATCTAGGCAGCACATGAGGTAAAAAAAAAGCTAGGGATGCATCCGATTCCGGAGGTAATGCAGAACCGTACTAGGTTCAGAAATAATTATATATTGAGGGAATCAATGCAATTGTTTACGAAGAAGAAAAAAATATCGCTTTCACCTTCCAGCCATTTTAGGCGAATGGATTACGGGAGCATGTGAGATTTATCGTTGAATGTGGATGGCCTTATGAAACAGCGCTGCTTTACAATGGTTGGTACAAGGCTTGCGCTGCTCAAAGCTTAATATTTTATTTTGATACTAATATTATTATCATCATTATTATTGTGGTTGTTGTAGTTGTTAACCTTGCTGTTGTTTTTATTATTTTGGTCAAATTAAGCTTGTCCTGTTTATTAACGTCCTATTCCTTTAAGAAAACAATGAGTATTAACGGCCTAATTTTCTGTACTTCGATTGTACCTTCGATTTCTCAATTTTATTTTATTTTTTACATGGTCCAGTCATTTTTGTTTATTTTTGTAGCATTATAGCAGGAACTTCAACATCATTTGTTTTGTTACAGGATACATTACAGGTGCTTATGGCGGAAATGCAGCAACAGGAACAGTTGCGTCAAGTGGATTGAGTAAGTGTCCGCCTTGCTGTCACGTAAGATATATTTTTCGGCTAGTTAGTTAGGAGAAGCGACGAAATTAATAAATTCACAGGTATGCAATGAAATCGACGCGCCTTAGATGGTGGGTTGCAGATCGTTGAGAGTGGGTTTTTCCTACAGTGAACGTAATGCAAGCTGACGATGAGGATATTGATTATGATTATATTCCTGCGTTTTGTCCCAGGGGTTGAGGCAGAAAAGCATGCTCGGAAAACGCACGAGACAACCACCCGTTGAGCTCGCCTATTTCTCCACGAAAACAAGCTCTGCTGACAATATTGAACAGACCATTTTTGTAACATTAACATAAAATTAATTAGTGCGAAGAAAAACTAGTACCCTACAACCAAATAATTCATAATTACATTTAGGAAAAGATTTGAACACATTTTTCCACCAGTGTTAACATTATTCACCTGCCACGCATCGCTTTGGTAAAACGTATGAAAAAAGGGAACTTTGAGGGTTAGTTGTGTTGTTGCTCAAGGCGTCAATGAAAACCAGCAGATATTGATGCCAGGTAGGGTATTGGGAACGTTATTCGTACTGTTTTATTGCATATAAATATATGGTAAAAGTGTCAGTGACAATTATATATTTCTGCAGTTCATGAAACTTCTTTCGTATTCTGCGCAATAGATCCTCGAATGGGAGATTTCGCTTCTTTAGACCAAGTATGCCAATCTAAACGAAACACTTGAACGACACTGGGTAAAACTAGCACCTGTTATTTTCTCGCATTCTGCTTTAGGTGGTGTTCGAGGAATCACTGGAGGATTCGGTGGCATGTCTAGTGGCACAGGTAAGCGCCCATCTTGGAGTCCCTCACAGTGCCGATGTATCTACCACAATAGGGTACAGGTCAATTATTCTTTCATTACTGGCACGAGTGTCGTTCATTACTGGCATGATTGAAACACTTGAAACGTTATTCTCGTTTAAATTGGTGTGAAAAAATCACAAATTTATAGTGTAACTATATATAATTGCACCTTCGTGCAAACAGTCTCACTAAAATATCACACAATAATGAGATATCACACTGTTGAGTGCGCAGGCATGTTTCTTAATGAGGACACCCAGGATTGGCTGATATATACCTGAAGACCAGAACGAGTGGTGTGGAGCAAATAGGTCTCACGGGAAAATGAATGCACAAACACGTGGTGTATGAAAGACACGTCTGATTGATTGATTGATTGATTGATTGATTGATTGATTGATTGATTGATTGATTGATTGATTGATTGATTGATTGATTGATTGATTGATTGATTGATTGATTTGTGGTGTTTAACATCCCAAAACCACCATTTGATTATGAGAGACGCCGTAGTGGAGGGCTCCGGAAATTTCGACCACCTGGGGTTCTTTAACGTGCACCCAAATCTGAATACACGGGCCTACAACATTTCCGCCTCCATCGTAAATGCAGCCGCCGCAGCCGGGAAAGACACGTCTAGTATATAATCAGGAAACTTCAAACTTTTGAATTGCGAAGTACTCAGATTAAACGTATCCGTGCTGCTCGACAAAAGAAGTCAAAAAATGCGTTTCTGGGCTAGTTGGTTCATAATCCTAAACCTCGGAAGCGTGCAATCGAAAAGGACAGGGAAAAAAACAGATACACAAGACAGAGCGCAAACTCGCAGCCAAGCTTCATTCAGAAGTCTCCCTAAATGTGTACACAGCGAAGTGGCGCAAGCAGGCGCAATGTACATCACATTCTACAATGCTACAAAAAAAAGGTTATTCCATTAGTGACACTTCTGCTGTAATGCACAGTAAGGAAAACTGTTCTTAGAAACTTGGTTCTCATTTTGACGCAAGGTATACGCTGTCAACATAAATATATGTTGCTCTGCCGATTCTGATTACTCTGTTGCTCTGCCGGTCATGAACCAGCGCACACTGTGTTTGTCCTCGTCATCCGCTTAGCCGATTTGTCCCGTTTATAGTAATGCGGTGAAAGAATAAGCGAATGGAGTAGAAAGAAGTAAGGTGAAAAAAAGGAGAAATATAACAACTATTGGTGAAAAAATTCCTCACTAGGTGGTGGGATTCGAGCCCGCATGCCCATGATTAGAATGTGAGCGTCTTAACGACTTGACTATCTAGACAGACAACAGCTTAGCTTTGTACAATATCGTACAACAAGATGGCATGAAAGAGAAGAATGAAAATAAGGAAAATAGGGAGAGAAGAGAGTAACAAATAGTATACGACGGATGAAAAAGAAAAATAGAAGTAAAGAAGTGCTGAGTGACAAAGAAAGTGAAAAAGAGAAATAAATAGACATAGTTTGGTTAAACATATCTAAGAGGAATCAAGCGACAAATAGAGAGTAAGACAAAGAAAAGAAGGAGAAAGAAATGAAATTAAAAAGGCAAAAAGAGATATAAATAAGAAAAAATGCACAAAAGAGGAAGAGGCAAGGAAAGCAGACGAAAAGGCAGAACAAAATAAATAACTAAAGTGAAAAAATAGAGCCACGTCACGCCACACTTCCCTCAAGCATGACACCCAAAGCTTTATCCTGCGGATCAGCTAGCTCTTTCTTCAGTCTTGCACCTCCAGTGCAAGTCACGTCATTTCTTTTTTTTTCTCACACAGCATTGCTTTTGATGGATACTGTACGACCAGGTATAGTAGTAGTAGTAGTAGTAGTAGTAGTAGTAGTATTTTTATTTACAGTAAGCCGGATACAGAGCTCACTGCAGGGGCAAAGGGCTAAAGGCGGACAGCCTGACAAAGGCCCTTGTCCCACCGCAGTCCGTGACAGTGCAAAGCTTAAACAATATATATATTCAATACATTGGTTTCAAGCAACTTGAAATTGTAAACACAAAATTCAAACATAAATAGCATAAGAAGTTTACATAACACATTTTAAGAATTAGAAGTCACTCTCGTTAAAATTCACAACTAAGCAATATCAATGAAACAACTCAAAAACAGACACAAAATGCATGCGGATACAATGAATTCCGCTGTATACACTCGTATAATTGACATAAAAGTTTATGAACAATTTAAGCATTTGCAGAGGCATGAGACTCCATTACGTAGTTTCGATAGTGTAGACCGGTGGTTATGAATAAGTTTTTTATTTGTTTCTTGAAAGTCGCACTACTAGCCCTAAAGTTCAATTGATCTGCAAGGGTGTTTAAAACCTGAGGTACCTGGTAAGCAATACTTTGTTTTCCATACTTGGTTCTTGTTCTAGGAGCTCGTTTCTTTTGTTCTCGCAGACTGTAGTGCGGTCTTTCGGTGCAACTTTCTTCATATAGCTTAGTCTTTTGTATTAACTGAAGTAATTTAAAATGATATAATTGATCAATTCTGAGTATGGAATGTTTAATGAATAGTGGAGCAGTGCGCAAGTCTTGTAGATTCCCCCTGTAATTTTCAAAGCAGCGCAATATTTTCTTTTGTATAGTTATTAACTTATGGTAATTCCCTTGTGATGTCGTTCCCCAGACTAACATCCCATACCTTACTTTAGAAGGTATAGGGTTGCGTGTGTCGCTCCGTGTGTGGATTCCATATTACAGTAAACTTGACGAAATGCTCCTGGTACACATTGGTATTAGCGAATGCTCTGGAGTTTCGTTGAATACACCAAGAAGCATCGCTGCACAACTTTTTCAGTATTGTTTATATTATGCGTATTTCTTCAAGCCGCCCCGCCACGGTGGTCTAGTGCCTAAGGTACTCGGCTGCTGACCTTAAAGTTGCGGGATCAAATCCCGGCGTCGGTGACTGCATTTTGGATGCAGGCGAAAATACTCTAGGCCCATGTGCTCAGATTTGCGTGCACGTTCAAAAACCCCAGGTGGTCTAAATATCCAGAGCCCTCCAGTAAGGCGCCTCTCATAATCATATGGTGGCCTTGGGGCGTCAAACCCCACATATCAATCAATAAATTATTTCTGGAAGCCAACGAAGTACTCCACGTTGACCATTATTACGTTCTCCACGTTGATTATTATGTCCTCTCATTTCAGTGCATGGTAGTCGGCTCATCGTTACTGGTAATTCACGAACGGGTGTCACAGGTGAGTGCACACGTTATATCTATAGGAAATTTGAATGTACTGCCATTTTCATAACGTTAATGCTATACCCAAAGCATTTCTGCTTCTTTTGGTGACGCCCTTGAAGGCTGTGTTCTTAATGGGACACTAGAACAGTGACTTGGTTTAGGTTGACAAACTACACTGTGAAAACTCTAATACCACATTTTTCACTATCATTAGTTGATTATTAGTGGAGGAATGAAGGTTGAAGTTTCATTTTTAAATTTCACACCAAAGTGTCTGCGCATGACGTAAGAAATTTTAACGTGTATTTTCGCTATTTTTGTGAAATCGGCTGATTGAAATTTTCTAAAACTTCTTATGTTGAGTCTATGTCACCCACAGACTACACCTTACTTCATTTTTATTGATTGGAGGCTACGTAGAACCCAGAAGATGCCTTCAAAATTTCTTACGTCACGTTGCTTGGTGCGGAAATAATACGGTCACATCGCACTTGCATTTTTTTTTTGCGCGCGTTTTTAAGCTTACCAAGGGTGGTGTCACACTAAGAGTGGTGTGTTTGGGATAGTGAAACTGTGCCTTATCAATACTATAAAAATTGTTTTTCCTATTTAGTGTCCCTTTCAGTGTAAACTGTAACTTCAGTGTTCGTGATATCTTTGGGTAAAGGTGTTACTTGACCCTATTTTATTTAAGTATACTTGAGGCACTTTACATAATACACTTTACGATCACACACTTTTTCCCCGAGATACAAGCACTTATGTAGGTCATTTAGACACCTCTTTTTTTGCATCACACCAACAAACAAAGTCCTGGTCGTTATTGGTCGTTTATTGTAGTATAGGTTACCACCCGAGACACGTTGTCAATCCTGAATGATAAACAATATTAGAATTCCAATTTATTTACCTTTTTCAGTTACTGGAGGTCATACTGGTGGTGCTTTAACCTCAGGTATGTAAATACTGGTGAGACATGCACTTCCAACTTAGAGAGCAAGTGCCTTTTGGAATGGCGGTATTCAGAATTGCGTATTCATTCAAAAGAATGTGCTTTTCTTTCAGACGATATTTCTGAGAGTAAACTTTAATGCCACAAAATAACTGAAACTATTTATTGATCATTCAAAATTATTTAGTTTCTTCGAGTTACTGTTATGCATAAAAGTGCATTGAATCAGCTTTTACGTTTGGTCATTATCATTGAAAGAGACATTTTTCTCCAATGACGAGAAACAGCTAACAGCATGTCAATGCATCCTCTTGTTGTATCACACAAATGAAAAAAAAGCATAGCAGCTGATCTTACGTGGATTATCGCATGCTACGATTATACGAATGGAGTATATCATACGTTACGACTGCGATTGAAACCCATGGAAAAAATATTTTAGTAAAATTGAATCCAAGTCCACTTTGCTCAAATATATCATCAAACCATCAATGGTAACCAATACGGCACACATGTTTTCGATACGATGTGAACAAGAAATTTTTCTAACCTTGTATACTTTTCTTCCTTCATGGTGGTCCTCGAAATAGTCAGAGAAGTACAAAACTTTCAACCACTTTTCCATTTGTTTTATAGTACATTTTTAAAACCTGCTTTTCATTTCCGAAGTCATAGAATGGAAAGCTTGGCAAGAGACAGACAGGCAACTTTATTTTGTGTCTTAGGGAATGATACTTCTCAAAAAATGAAAAAATAACGAGGGGCGAAGAAGCTAAATAACTTTTTATTGCCTTCAAAATAAGTCTTTTGAAAAATAACAACCTGGAAAATTCATGAATATCCGTAATGATGTACAACTTTCCTAATGCCTAAAAAGTGGGTAGGCCTATGTCAATAGGCACACAAAACAACTGTCTAATAGGATAATCATCCGTGCAGTCAATAAATACAAACAAATTACGCAGATTTTGTTAACGTTGTCAATATCAATATAACAGACTATGACAGACTATTTTCGGCTGGAAGTAGAGTTTGTGAGCAATAACAAAAACAGCCTAACTGTCTGAATATTTATATAAAAATTTTATATTGTCTAAAAAGTGCCTCGATTATTATGGCGATGAAAAATAGCATATAGCACTATCAGAGTACACACGTCAACTTAAGCTACCAGACTGTTTTTGTTAACAAGTTTATTTTGCAGAGTTCAAAGTTGAATGTTGATGAAGCAAATTTTCATCTGTGACGCTAGACAAACAATCCCTTTCGATATACGTTTTATCTGTCAATTTATACTCAAACTACAAGCTTTGATTAGTGACAGCTAGGCTTTGCACAATTTTTCAAGCTGTTCCTTAGCACCGTTTTCCCAACTCTACTGAATAATTTTCCAGTGCAAAAAGTTTATGCCATAACACTCTACTTCTAGTTTTCTCTTTCATCAAGCTGCTCATTTTTGTAAACACATTTAGGCACTACGAGTTTTTTAACCTATAATGATGCTAGTCATCCCAGCACTGTAGCAGCCTAATGTTACCATCGACAATATATGTGTGGTGCCACATCACTGAAAGTACAAGTTGGTACAAAAAGTATAATGCAGTCGAGAATTCGCTTGTAATTGTCATTTGTTTTTGTGTGCTCATTAACGCACTATTTTTCTGATACGAGTCTCCTCCACAAAATTCACTCAACATTTTCCTCAGGAACAACTGGTGGCAGCCTTGTAACTGGTGGTTCAGCGGGGTCAGGTGGTGCAGGTGGTGCAGGTGGTGCAAGTGGTGCAAGTGGTGCAGGTGAGCATAGACACACTTGCTTAGCAAACTAAACCATACGATCGTGCTGCAGTTTCGCATACTCCATAGGGTTTTTGCGATGTCATATGATGGGAATAGCTGGTGAAATATTAATTTCAACATAAAGTGAAGTACTCTTACCAGCATCCCGGGTAAACAAAACCAATAGATTTGATTATGCTTTGCAAGTTTTGGTACGCGCACAGGACTGCTCGATTATACCATCGCTTCTTTGCCAAACCACGGATAAAAACGTAAACACTCCCGATTATCATTGGATGCCTACAGATTTAGAGAACGCAGCTCGAATCAACCTTCCATAAGTAAAATTCAAATTTCGAACGTAGCAGTGATTCTGTTTCAATACTCAGTATCTACAGATAGCAACGTCCCCACCCCTCTTTGCTTCCGGCGATAATAAAGAAACGATACAATTATCATGATGCTCTATTCAAAAGATTCAAGAAGCTGCAGTAGCAGTTATCAGTAAAAGCATCCAGCAACCACCAAAAGAAAAGCAAGCGAACGCTTAGTTTTATTTGCATAAAAGGCAATTAGCTTTTATTGCCTATGTTTTTTTAACAGCAAAAGCTGCAACAATGGCGCTGTCGTTGTCCGCCACCGTTGTCTGCAAGTGCTATCGCACAAAGACATATTCACCGCTGGTAATCAAGGGCATAGAGATGACAGCACGACACGCTAAATTCATCAGTTTTATTTCCAGGAACCAATAAACTTTTTATCCATGCACAGTGGCGTAACCAGTCTAAGCAGAGAGCCTTCCAAAAACCAGGAAGCCTTTCTTCTTGTCTAAGAGGTCATTGATTGGGAACTCTCACAGGCGTCACTAATGCGAGACATAGCTTGGGTTTCAATTATCTCTCTAAAATCTTTATCTGTGCTTCGCCAGCGTCATAGAAGCACCATATACCGGTGCGCAACCACACTACAAACGTTTTACAAACAAATGACCGTAGTTAGTATTGTTTCTAATGTTTGACAAGTGTTGGCGTAGGCAATAGTTAAGACATCTTCCTGTCTGACCAATATACCTAATTTCACAACTCAACGCGAGCTCGTAAACCACCTCTTGAACACAACCCACAAGAGAGTTGCAATCGTTCTCAGAGCATCCTGCATCTATAGCTTGCGGGGCGGATCCGTTAAGTGAAATAACCTGCCAAGTTCTTCCGGTACTGAAAACACTACTTTGACGCCCACACAGCTATCAATTTTATATATATTATGAGCCGTTCTGGGCAGATAGGCCACTACTGCCACTCTGCTCCTGCTTCTCGTCTTTTGAATAGCCGTATCCCGAGAAATACTGTCCAAGCAGCATTTTTTTAAGCAGGCACTCGACAATAGACACCTGTACTTATTTCTGGATATCATGCTGCTAATAAACCGTCTAGGGGATTCATAAGGTTTTTATGCATCTTATGGTGGCCCGACTTCTTCAACGCGTTTCCGAAAACGCAGATTGGCAATGCTCCTAGATTGGCAAAACACATTGCAAACAGGTGGGTGTTTCGAAAGCCAACCGATTACAAAGTGCTCAGACATATTTGACTATCCGCAGCAGCAGACTGAATCATCAACATACTTAACTGACCGCAGGTTCGCGTGTTGCCCTAAGTAAGTGAAGTGGGGACTTTGCTGAATCTAAAAAAAGATAAGTATGGCGTGTTGGGCGCTTGGCAATTGTGCTTGCGATGAGCAAGAACCGAAGCAGATTAGCAGTTCACAAGGCAACGCGCACAAAACCCGCTTACGTTATAGCGACCAACTCTTGAAGGCGAAGATCAGTCGTTTGTTCTTTTGTTGTACATGGTTTCAGTTTTCTAGCCTTGTTGTAACTTGCTTACAAACCTCTTTCGTTATACTACGGTTTTTTTCTTTATTTTATAATGTTCAATTTTAGCTGTTTTAACCAGTTTTGTTAGGAGCACCAAGTTACGGCCTTTGCTTTTTTTTTCCTTCGTGCTACGATTTCATAAAACTGTCCTTAGAGGCCTTTTGTAAACCTTTATTTAAATTGGTGGTATTGCTGGCTCACGAAGTCACTCAATAGTATTTGCACCATTATAAGATTTGTGTTCGCCTACCTATATAATCTCTGTCTTTCCACTAAAAAAAGTGAGTTAATAGTCACGGCGGTGTAGTGCAAGTTTTTCATTCCGTTGCCTGCGCTGCTCTGCCACGATATTCATGAACCTGGTGGCCCACCTAAGAACGGTGGTGAAGTTAATCAAAGGTGCTGTTCGATGGAGAGATTTTTAGGCAGCTGTGCGACACATTTTTTTCCTGTGTTCGTTGCAAAGGAGGTGGCCGCTGCCTCGTGCAACGTGCTAGAGCACGATCTGAAGAACGTTATTAAAGTTTTTCATCTCTCCATCCATGTTAATTTACCCCTGCCACGCTTACAGTAAAATTCAACCGCATTCAAAAAGATCTCTTGTTCAAACAAGAGTGCCAGATAAAATGAGATTGCTTTAGCGTAGCTCAGTTTGACCGTGAAGAAAAATGCTATGCAGTAAAGAAGAGGAAAAAACCGGACACTCGACACTCGACAGCGCTCTCACTGTCGTGTTTTTCTTCCCCTTCTTAACTGAATGACATCTTTTCTTCACGCTCAAACTGAACTGCGCTACAGCAATTTCATTTTATCATGCGCCAAGTCACCCCGTCAGCAGTAAGAGTGTCAAGTCTGTTATGTGCCTTCTTGTTCTGTTCTTTTTGCGGCATCCAGCAGTGTTACCGTGTTGTAACATTGTTGGGTGGCTGAAGTAAGTGAAGCTTGGAAAAACTGACCCGCACTTTCTGCGCTTGAGTGCATGCCTTACTTTACCATTTCTACTAAACAATTCTGCAAAAGGGTCCTTCAATTTTCACCTTATACCACGATATTCTCCCACGCGAAAAATTTGTCAACGCTTCTTTTCAATAGGATCACTCAGTGGTGGCCTTGCTAGTGGAAGTGGATCGAATACACTTGGAACCGGTGAGTGCACGTTCCTCCCGCGTATGTACACCAGGCAAACTACGTTCAGTGAAATATCACTAGAATCATGTACACACGTTTAGTTAAACTCCGAAACCATGAATATAAGACTGTTTGTAGATGCCCGTGTAAGCTCTACGAGCAAATTCAGTTAAATTCCTACTGTTTTGATAGACCTGCGAAAAAATCTGACCAGTGGTTAGGGTTGTGTTGAGCAGAAAAGTCAAACTACAGGCCTACCGATTGCTGTGGCAGTCGGGCGAGACAGAAAGTTACTGATGATGCGGAAAAATAACAGACGATTACTTGCATATTTCAGAACGTCATAATTGTGCCGAGAGGGAGCTCGACGGCTAGTAACATACCGTTTATGTTCTTAGACAAACGCCTTCAATATCGAAGATGCGTTCCCCGCACGAGCGCCCGTTTGGGAGAATAGTACTTGCAATGCCCATGGTCACCGCTTGCAAGAGGACTTCCGCTTTCACCCTCTATTCACGTCCGCCATGAGTAAAAGGAGGGTAGTGTCCCTCATTGAAGCTTCAAAGCTTTAACGATGGCATTAGTGTGCACCTGTAGACCACTTGTTGCAAACACAGGTCTCAGAAGGATACCGGCAGAAGCACTCAACTATTATCATTCCTTCGCATAAAACCGACGATCTAACACACACTTGAAAGGGGATGAAGGACCACATATCGTCGTCACTGCCTCGTGTGCGCACCTGCAGGCAGAAGCGCCCGTGCCAGAGAAGGACGGCATGTGTGAGTGACAATAACGTTTACTGGTAGTGAATGGTGGTGGGATTTGCTGTCGTCGAAGAAGCCTAAAAAAATTTGTGGGAAGTTCGCATACAACCTTTCAATTACCTTGTAGTCGTGCTGAATAGCCTTTTTTTTCTACAGTAGAGTGTTCGCTGTATTCACGGTCTTTTTTTTTTTCCTTTCTAGGAATACTCATCGGTGCCCATGGAGCTGGCAGAACAATGAACATAGCCGGTGTGGGTGGGTGAATGTTCTATATCATTATTCGAATTGGCAAGATGAGTCTTCAGAGTAATATCGACATTTCTGCACATTTCTCACCACCGATTTTTCGTCTTGATAACACAGATGCATGGGCTAGTTGGTGATTGGGAATCAACATATTTGCACAACGCAAGACTATGAGTAGTTACGACGCAACTACAGAAGAAGAGACAAGGACAGAAAGAGTGCCGACTTCAACTGAAATTTTATTAGCGAAAACGCTGGAAATATATACTCGTGACAGAACATCACCGCGCATTCGCACAACCTACTGTATCACAGCAAGATAATCATCATCTCAATATATGGTTACGACGCCACAGTTCAGCACAACTTCACGATCTATTGTGTCGAAGCCCGAATCTAGTCAGAGCAAGCGATGGCATGCTGATACATCGATCACCCAGTATTTCGATTTTATTGGCCTCTATAATCTCTCGTGTTAGCTGGGGACGGCGTTTGGCTACTACAGTGCACTTTTCGAATTCCGGTCTGCAACCACGATCCCTACAATGAATGCCCAAATGACCTTGCACAGCTCGCCTTGTGTCTTCTTGCTCTATACTTTTTGGAGCATCCAGCAGTGTTACCGTGTTGTAACATTGTCAGGTGGCTCAGTTAACTGAAGCTTTGAAAAACTGACCCACACTTTCAGCGCTCAGATGCATGCCATGTCTACTAAACAATTTTCACCTATAGCACGTTATCGTTCAACGCAAAAAAAAAATGGCAACACTTCTTTTCCATTAGGACCAGTCAATGGTGGCCTTGCTAGCGGCCGAGGATGGAGTGCAATTAGATCCGGTGAGTGCACTTTCGTGGCGCTTATGTACACCAGGCAGACAACGTTCAGTGAAATATTACTAAAATCATGTACACACGTTTAGTTAAACTCTGAAACCGTGGATACGAGCCTGTTTGTAGATGCCTGTGTAAGCTCCGCGAGTGATTTCTGTTAAATACCTACTTTTATAGACCTGCAACACCAGCTAACCAGCGGGTAGGGCTCCGTTGAGCGGAGAAGTCGAACTGCAGGCCCACCGATTTCTGTGGTAGTCAGCCGAGACAAAACGTTACTGATTATGCGGACACTTAACAGACATTTATCTACATATTTTGTGACGTCAGAATCGTGCAGAAAAGGAGGTCGGCGGCTAGTAATATACCATTTATTATTCTTACTTAGACCTCGATCGGCCGCTAGATAAATTTTTTCAATTCAGCAGCCATGGCTTGACAAACGCCACCTAAAACAGACCTTCTCTGCACGAATGACCGTTTAGGTGAATCGTACTTCTAATGGTGGTGGTACGTGGTAGGAGCACGATTTTAGCAGCCCGGTAGGGAGCACGGCGCATCGTCTCCCAATGCCGACCGTAACCACTTGCAAGAAGGCTTCCACTTTCACCCTATATAAATGTCCGCCACGAGTAAAAGGAAGGTAGTGTCCCTTTTTGAAGCTTTATTTCTTTCACGAACAATGGGATTAGTGTGCGCCTTCAGACCGCTCGTTGCAAACACTGGTCCTACAAAGCAGATACCGGCAGAAGCACTCAATTATTATCATCCTTTCACGTAATACCGAAGCTTTAACGTACACTTGAAAGGGAATGGAGGACTACGTAGCATCGTCACTGCCTCGTGGGCGCGCCTGCAGGCAGAAACTCCCGGTCCGGAGGAGGACGGCATGTTTGGGTGACAA